AGGAAGTGATTTATTGCACCAAATGCAAAAAGATTAGTTAGAACCACAAAGTAGCTGTCTATGCAAATAGAAAAAGGTGAAATGAGTTAGAAGAACAGTGTCTCGTAAGTTTTAGAAGAAAACATTTATACTTTAGTCAAAACCCAAATGCTGAATCATAATTATAAGGGATAGGCATAAGAAAACAAGGACGAATTACTTTTTTCTATCAGCCAAAATCTACCAATAACATTTTTAAAGTAGCTGCAGCCGTTCTCCAAATACAACTTAAGGAATGATACACAAATAGAATACAAAGAACGTCTTACAGAGGCTGGATTCATGCATCCCCCAGTGAGATCCGAACCAAGAAGGTGAAGAGTGAGCTTGGAGAGACTTGAAATCCAAGTTTTCATAAAGAAACTGTCGCTAACTTTTCTGGACAGACCAAGTGATATTATCACAATTGAAAATGTCAGAAAACCTTCAGTCAATGCTCCCGCTGCAATATCAACATTTAAGCGTGGCCCACGTCCTATCCCGGGAACTGTTTGCAAGATGAGCCTCACGCCGTAAACTGATCCAACTATCTTTGAGAAGACAAATTGAAGAAGAACCAAAATTTTATAAGTATATAAGCCTCAGAAATCAAGTTAATCGATGTAGAAGAAAACAGGTGCAGGAGTATATATATCCTCACCGATATTGATAAGTTATTCTTTTCCAAAGTTTCAGAAAAAGGGAATGTGTAATGTACGAGCTTTTCATAAACCAGCTCATAACAAAATAACAAGGAGTAATTTTCGACGCACTTCGCTCTTGACCATTTGTGGCAAATTCCAAAGGGAATAAAGCCAAAGAATCCAACTTTACTCTTTTTCCTTTCTTCTTTTAAGTATTTAAACCTTGTTATTAATCCCTCGAGTTTCCAAACATCAAATCCGAATACTGTCTGCTCTTAGCTGATCACCTTGATTAAGAGGGTTGAAAAACCAACCAAATTACTTGACGTTAGGAGATTACCTCACAAGCTTTTTCGAACTCAATGCTTTCTTTCACCCCCTTTCTTTGGGGGCTCAATGAGATTTTTAGCTCAACTCGAAAATACAAGGCGACAAAATTATGTACAACAATGTTCATCAATCAAAGTTTTCTTCTCAATTAATGCCCAAACTTAAATTCTTGAAGCACTAAGAAAAAACCAAACTAACACAAAATGACATTATGTCCAGCTCTTGCACTAATTATCTTACTCAGTCCTCACCCATATTGATCAATAGCTCAATCAATAAGATTCTGCACAAAACTCCCCAAATAACCACACATCCATGAAAAAAACACATTTTTTTACCCAAACAATAAAAAATAAAATCAGCAAACAGAGGAACTTTGAGTTTGAGATAACCTGTGCGGGAATTCTGGCCCCAAGAGTGAAGAGAAAATTGGGAAAATCACCGGATACGGCGG